AGATGAGTGGACTTCAACTCCCAGAATTCCCCAGCTGGCTGGGGAATTCTGGGAGTTGAAGTCCACTCATCTTAAAGTGGCCAAGTTTGGACAACACTGGGCTAGAGCATCAATCCTTTCTCAGAACTCCCTGGGCTTCAGCAAACCACTCCCGTCCATTTGCAGTGAGGTGTTAAAAAGCTTCCTTTAATTTGAATTGGGCTCCTGATGGCTTCATGGCCACCTCTGGGTTGTTTCCCTGGCAGCAGCAGAGAAGTGGTTTGCCCCTGCTGCTTGTGGTGGTCTCCCATCCAAGTTCATGAAGCCACCAGGAGCCCAGTGTGACTGAAGGGACACTTTTGAAGCATCTCAATGCAAATGGAAGGAAATAGTTTGTTGAGGCCCAGGGAATTCCAGAAGGGGTCCGGATCCAACCCTGTTAACCAGGCTGTGTCACTATGCATTCCCCCTCAACCTACTTTGAAGGTCCAAACTATGGCTATTTAAGGAAACCGAGTGCCTTCGGGTGGGAACAGAGCATCTGCGTAAATCTGCAATTCCTCTACTCCTCCATTTCTGTCTTTTCGCCCAAGGAATGCTGGGGAGCACCAAGGCCATTTCTTGATCCCCCCGTGCTGTTTTTGTCTCAGGATGGTGGCTGGTGGAAAACAAACGAAAGCAAATAGCCTGGTTCCCGGCTCCGTACCTGGAGGACAGCAAAGAAATACCTGTCATGGAGGAAAACAACGAGGAAGGTAACTCCTAGCTGGCCTCCTGAGGGCCCCGAACTCTTTCTTGTAGATACAGACATAAAGAGATGGTGGTTAGGTCAATCCCCTTCACAGCCAGGTCTTCAAGTCAGGAATCGGCGTGGTGGTTCTGGTGGCCCCAGTGGGCCTGCAGACCCTTCCATCTGTTTTAGATTTGTTTACATGTTTACAATATTACAGTCAAAATGGACCCAATGACTAGCTGGACGCTTTCTGACAGCTGTTTTGTGAAAAGAATGCCACTCCACGGCAGCCATTTTGCGATAGCAAAGTGGCAGGTTCCCAGAATACCAAATGTGTCCGTTGCCCCAAACAATGCATATCCTGGCTTTAGTAGAAGCTGTTTCCTGAGTTAGGGTTCTTCCCAAATGGAATTTGCATTGTTTTGACGCCAGGTGGGAACTTAGGCAGTTGCTTTGTAATAAGAGAGATAGTGGCTTCTTTGAACTCACGCTTAGAGCTAAGCTGCAAGACTTGAGCTCTACGGTTACGATCCTTAACTCGGAGACAGCAGAGAGGGAATCTGGATGTCTTCTGCATGTAACCATTCTAATGCATCTTCAGGCACAGCTATAGGATTCTTTCTTTCTGTAACAAAAGGAAGAATAAGCTGGGCTACATATTTCTCTCTCTCTCCTCTCTCTCTCTCTCTCTTCCTTCCTTCCTTCCTTCCT